CTTGCCACTGACTGGCTTGGGTGCCGAGCGGTGCAGGCTGCTCTGGGGGCCTGGAGCGGCTCGGGGACAGGTGGCTGGGTGCCAAGGCCGAGGTCGCCGTTGACCGCACGGTGCCGTAGGAGCGACTGGAGCGTCTACGGTCATGCCGGTGGCGACCTCGAGATCTGGACCTTGACGACGATGAGGAGCGGTACTCGACCGAAGTGCTGCTCTCATAGTCGTCCCGGCGATCATAGCTTTGATGCTTCGGTGCCGGTAACGCCCGAGGAGAGCTCAGTCTATGGTGTCTAGTGGAGCCGGCACTCAAGCCCGAGCATCCATAACGATGGCGTCGGAATCTGCTCCTGTAGCTCCTATCCAAAGAGGAGCGTCGACGCCGCTTGTCTCGGTGCCTGCGCTCCCGATGGGGAATGGAGGATCTTCGAGGCTCCCGCGCAGGCGAATCAGCCAGTCTGATCAGAGTGGAGGACTGACACGAGCTATGTGAGGACCTCAGCGAACGGGGCGCACGGTCCTCGGAGCGCGGGCTGTCTCTTGCTGGGGAGGGCTGGTGTGCTCCCAATGGCCACTTCCCTCAGGACCGAGGGCCCGTCTCGGGTGCGCACACGGCACCGGGAGGGAAAGGATGTCATGCGCAGCCTGTGCAGCCTCCGGCGTCGACAGCATTCTCACCGCGGGAGAGGCACGCGTGGATGGGACCGGACTACTCCACTTGGCACGAGTCAGAGGTCTGGGTCCCGGGGGGGATCATGGGCTGCCCAACTCGAGTCCGGCCTCAGCCCTGTCCTTTTGTCGGCACCGCTGAGTCTTCTCTTGCTTCGTAGCAGGTGAGCGGTGCCGACTGGTGGAGGGCGCCTCGCTCCGCACCGAGGATGAGGCACCTGGTGCCGAGTCCGATTGGCGTGCTGGTGCCGTGACCAACGCAGATTCCATCAGCAGGGCCCAGAGCCGGATATCTCTCTCACATTTCATTCGAGGCTTGAACGACCGACAGATCTTACAGTGATCGGTTACGTGAGTCTCGCCCAAGCAGCGAAGACACTGAGTGTGCGGGTCGCTTCTTGGCATAGAACTGCGACAGGAGTCACATGACTTGAAGCCTGGGGCACAGGGCATGCCCCGCACCAGGCAACAAACTAAAGAAGTTATCCAACTAAGGGGAAGATGAGTACTACTAAGGCTACTGGAAGGGCTACAGCAAGGCTGGAGCACAAAGTTCCGACTACCTTCACTGGCGGCAAGAATGAACTGAGGGTGGGGGGAGTGCGCAACTTCCCTTATAGTGCGCTATAGAGGCGCCACTCCAGGGGTCACAGCGGTGCTCCCCCACTACGGGTACTGCTAAGGGAAAAACTTCTGGCACCGGTGCACATGGCGAGCGTGCACACCTACTGTGGCATACACAGGAGCAATCACTCGAAGAAGAATAGTTAGTTCCACATTGTTCTTCAAACCTCAGATCATTGAAATGCAGCTGTGCATTTGAGATACTATATGACTGTAGTACATTTTGCACTGCCTGCATCTACACTGATATTGGGAGAGGAGAAGAGGACAAGACTGTCCCTAGCATATATGATTAAAAAAAACAGGCAAGACACACCCACCCACTATCAATGCAACAAGGAGGGAGAACAGTAGCTAGGGCCAAGAGAGAAGATGCAATGAAACCCTTGTGTACCCACAACTGATGTCTGAAAAGCATCAGTCACTCTGCAGATCAAAGAAAGAAAGAGCAGCCAGTATTCAGACAGATAGGATCCTTATGACCTATGTAGGAGAAGTGCACTTTCCTAGTAAACTGTAGCAGTTTCCCAATAGAGTTTTCTTATGGACTTATTTATTAAGCAAAAATTAAGATTAGGAGTCTGATTTAAATTATGTAAATTTTCAGTTGTAGTTAACTGTGGAACTATTGCAGCTACTTTTATTTTACTCCTGCCTTCATAAAAAGCTACAGAGTTAGAACAGATAATTACAGAGACTAAAGTACATGCTTTAATATAATTAGGACCAGGCCACCCAAGATGAAAACTACACCATGGAAGAGTCCTACAACCAGTATTTGAGGCCAATCCCTTTATCAATAAGAAGACCAAGAAGACCAGCACCATTCATATTCTGGTTTTGGATAAAACACCTGATATTGCCTACATCATAGAAACCTTCCTCCCTCCAAGCCTATACCCCACTATCCCCTTTGGCAATAACGTAACCATTAAACAAGTTCTGAATCAGTAGTCTTTCTTCCCAATTTAGTTTTAACAAAAAAAGCTGCAATGTAAGTAGCTATAGGAGATAACAGTCCAACTACTAGGTATTGGTGGGGGGAAAGTGTGCTAGTAATGTCCTGGATATACTGGTTTGTTAAGTGTTATTGCTTTTAATATGATAATGCAAACACTATAATAGAGTATTAATGTCCCAATGACTGTAGCTTGTTTTAACTTACCGTAATACTAGAAGTGGTGCATGTGAAGCTCTCTTAAAAGCTGACACTACAGCAGTGATACTCCCAAGCCAGCATGCGTAGGGCTGGGGGTGGGGAAGGGTAGTGCATCTAGGTATAAGTAACATCTCTCACACCAAACAGGAACTTTTCCACAGTTCATTGCAATTTGGGAAGTGTGATTATTATACCTTGTCTTACAAATACCAAACACCATTACATATGCACAAGGTCAAGAATTCCCCCCATATACAGAGAGTTGTGCTTCTGTATATAGTATCTGAGATGAATATTGAGGTCCCAGCTCTTCAGGAAGCAGTAAAGAGTCATTAGCCAAGCCACAGGTTGAATCCTATTGCAAACAGTATGGGTGAAACATGAGGCATTCTGAAGCAAGAGGAGATTACTGGAAAACTTTAAATAAGACACAGAAAACAAACTTTCCTAGGTTTTGTTTCTGTTGGATTGATTGTATTATGTATAGTAAGTGTTTAATATAAAAATCAGGTAGTAGGGTTTACAATGCTTTAACAAGAGATTATGCTATTACCATTATCCAGTCAATTTGCACACTACTATTTTGAATTAGTGATAATTCAGAGAGAGAGAAAGAAAAAAGCTGAATTTAGAGAATAATTATTAACCAGATTCTTGGTTATTCACCAGCCACTTTGCTCCAGACCATAGCACAAAGCACCATAAACCCAGTAGAATCTGCTCAAGAGAATATTCACCTCAAATTGGCATCTGCTACACTCCCCGCCCCGCCCATTTCCAGTCACCACTATTCAGGATATAGCAATCGTCCAATAGATCAATTTGTCACATTAGCCAGGAGGAAGCAGGTCGTGAGTGTTTTTGACCACAAACCCCATCCCTCCTGATTCGCAACCCCATGGACCAGTGACAGGTGCATGAGCAGCCAAGTCATTGGAAATAAGCAAGGAGGAAGCCAGTGAAAAAAGTGAAAGTGGCCATTCTGGTATCACCTTGGGCTCAGGGGCATGCTAGCCAGGAGGAAGCCGATCGATCAAAGGGGCCACTCTGGCATCACCTTGGGCTCAGGGGCATGCTCCGTACCCCCAAACTTTACCTCTCTTTTCCAGCGAAGACACTGAGTGTGCGGGTCGCTTCTTGGCATAGAACTGCGACAGGAGTCACATGACTTGAAGCCTGGGGCACAGGGCATGCCCCG